TAGCTTCTGAATATGTTTCATTGTCTTGTATTTTAAATATTTCATTTTTAATACTTCCTAAATAATATTGATAATGTTTATTAATATCATCAATTGATTGTTGAATATTTGGAAGTGTTTCTATTTCTTCTTTAAAGAAATGAATGTTCTTGTTTATTAACTCATCCATTTTAATTGAATGAATATCAGATCAAAATCAGATGATTAAATACTTAAATACACGTTTATAAAATATCATTTTATTTATTATTTTTTATTTTATATCTTAGATTCGAAGATAGCACGTCAGAGACACCACACAGATCCCTAAAATATTTCCTTCCTTCAATTCCCACCAGTTATGGACTGGTTATGGCGTTGCGTTTGGTTAGAAAAACATCTTACCCGGTACTGCAAGAATAGCAGTGTTTATTATGTACAATGACAGAATATCATTGACAATAAACAAATGGGTATTTATAAAGATGGTATTATTACTTGTTATGATACAAGTATTATTTGATAATATAAGAAAGATTATCAAAAGAAAAGGGTCAAGTGGATGAGGCTAAAAGAATATTAACCCAAAGCAATACATTAGTAATTATATATTCTCCTTAAAATAATAAAATAAAGAAGAAGAAATTTAAACCCATCGAAATTAAAAAGAAATTAAATAATGAATATCTACATAAGGGATGTCTAAAATACTCTATTCCACATCAAAAATGAGAAAAGAAAATTCTCATAGTTCAACAACTAGAAGCAAAGAATAAGGCAATAGTTGAAGAACAAATACATTTAAAGCTCAGGGACGGGATTAGTCTCCCCTGAGCAAGGAACAATAGAAAATATTTCTATTAATACTTAATTAACTACTTTTTATTTTTTATTTTTTAATAAGCGTCATTTCATTTTTATTGTTTTTAAATAACAATATTGAATTCATTGTGAATAAAATTTAAGTAAAACAAATATAAAATTGGAAGAAACTATAATAAATTTAATAAATTACTATAATCAAATTATTCTTTATTTTTTGTTTTTGTAAAAATAATATTGTTATTAAATACTTTGTTATTTAAAATGTTATTTAAAAAGAAATATTAATTATTCAAATTAAATAAAGAGAATTGAAAAAGTGATTAAATCAAAATACAAATTGATTATATTGATGTCAATGTTTTCAGCGTTTATTGTATTTGATAAAATATGAATTAATATTATGTTAAATCATTTATTAATAAATAAGTTAATATTATCATTTCATTCATTATTAAATTTTGATTATAATGAAAATGAACATTATTCAAATCAATGAAATTATTAAATGATTTGATGTTATATATTATATCATATAAATATGATGAGATAATAACTTGATTACAATTTTATAGAATATAATATTACTTTTATTAACTTCTTTCTTAATATAGATATTAATCTAATGATTCAATTATTTTATGTAACATTCATTATTTTATAATACTTATCATTCATATCAAATAGATATTATGATATTTATTTCATTACTAACTCAATAACAAGAAATGAATGATACAAAACAACACAATAAATAATAAGTCAAGATACAAGTAATGAAGAAATAAAGTTAATCAAATAGAATAAAATGATAAAGAAATGATAAAATAATAAAGAAGATAAAAACAAGAAAACACAATAAGTAATAAAAGAAGAAAGTTGAAAATAATAATTAAAATAAGGAGAATATATAATCAAAAGAACAATAAATAAATGTAGTTTTAAAATAAATAATAAATGATATATAATAATAACACAATGAGAATAATAAATAATATAAACAAAAGAAATGATAAATAAAGAAATAAAACAAAAGAAGATATAACAAGAAATGAATAAACACAATAATAACAAATAAATACAAATGAATATAATTTAAATAAGATATCCAATATGAAAATAAAAGAATAAATAAAATAACATATCAAATTAATGAATAATAAAATCAATACAATCAAATAATCAATCAAATAAATAATTTAATAAACTAAATAATAATAATAATAGTATAAATAATATATATAAATGAGAATGATATTATAAACTAATATTGATAATGTGTATAAGATGATAACTATTTAAATAGTGATAATCACCATTGACTATATTGATTGAAATATTAAATCTTTGATTATTATTCAAAATATTAAATAACAAAATATAATGAATAACAAATTAAATAAAAAAGAGAATATTCTAATTATAAAAATAAAATAAAATAAAAATAAAATATAATAATAATATAATAATATAATTGTTTTCTAAGTTCTTTTTATTTTATTTTTTTGTTCATTCATTATTAATTTATCAATTCTTCATGTATTTATATCTCAAAGCACTTTCTTTAAACATCATTTAACTTTTATCAAAAACAACTAAAATTAGAAATTCAATTAAACAAAAGATTTAAACATTAATAATGAGTATAGAAGGATTGAAACAAACTAAATTACTTTTAATTGGAGAAACAGGTGATGGTAAAAGTTCATTAGGTAATTTTATTTTAAAGAAGAATGTTTTTAAAGTAAGTGATAGTGATGAATCGAGTACAAAATACACTGGTGGATATTTTGGAGAAGGTGATAGAAATGATGTATTTGTTGTTGATACTCCTTGTCTTATTGATGGTAGTGGATTTAATAATAAAAATATTCAAATATTATTGAATGTGTTAAAAACACAAGATTACAAGGAATTGTATTAACAATGAATTATAATGTAAAAAGATATTGTGATAATCTTAAATATATTGTTAAAGTTATATCTGATGGTTTCCCAATAAAAGGTGTTTGGAAACATATATGTATTGTATGGACTAAATGTTATAACTGTTATTCACAAAATCAAATTGAAAAAGATAAAATTGAGAAAAAAGAATTTAAAGAAGAAATAATCAAATTTATTAAACAAACAAATAGAATAAATGAAAATATTGATATTCCAATGTGTTATGTAAATTCACAACCAATTGAAGGCTGTAATAATACAAAATCAGAAGAAGAAATAAAAAAATTAATCAAATGGGCAAGAGGATTAAAACCAATTGATAAAGAAGAAATCAGTAAATTAATAAGTGAATATAAAAAAATTATTTATGAAGAAAAAGAAGAACGTGAAACAATAGAAGAAACAATACTTAAGAGAACATATAAAATAACAAAATATATAAGATGTAAGAAAGTAAAGAATGGTGGAGAAGTTATTTATGGTGAAAGTACTGAAATTTGTAGTAGAATTATAACAGAAAACAAATATAATAAAGAACCATCAGATTGTGTAGTGATGTAACTGAAGAAACAATAACACTAATTCAGTATTTAGTTAATTGAAATAAAATACAAAAATCAAATGAATTAAATTTCATTATGGTTAATTTAAATAGAAAAACAAAGAAATGGATAATAAGAAATAAAGTAAACATGAATAAAAGAAAGAATAAAATTCAAATGAATAAAGAAGAATGAATGAATAAAGAAGTAAAATAAAGAATATAATGAAATAAACAAAGAAAATATAAACAAAGATAAAGAAAATGAATAAATAAAAGAATATGATTAAATTAATTTAATATAAAATTAAATTAAAGTGAATTAAATATAATTTATTATTTTATTAAATTATTGATGCCTTACTTATATTCTTATACCTTACTATGTTCATATCTATGATTAGTAATTCTCTCTTCTTTAGATCTCTTACATAAATATCTGTTCTTTTATTGAATTTTCATTTTTATTTATTATTTCTTGATTCAAAATCATAAGTATTTTATTTTTTTCTTCTTTTTTTCATAATTCTTCTTTTCTTATTATTAACTTCTTTGTATTTTCTTCTTTTTTATTTCTTGATCTGTATATATTTCTTATTTAATCTTTAAAGCCATCGATATATATTCATTTTATCATGTTTATTCGTCTGTGATGTTTTATTGATTATATAATTGAGAAAGATATGATTTATTGTTATTTTATTACAGATACTATACATTGAATATTTTGGTTCATGTGTTCATATTACTTTCATCATTCCAATATTTGTTGCTTTTTCTTTATTTAAATATATTCCTTATAATATTAATTCTTTTTAATATTTTAATTGTCTTATTTTAGTTTGTCATTTTATCTTCAAACCATTTTAAAATTTCATTCTTATTTCTCCAGTTCTTGATATATTCTTCTTGAAACTTTTCTTTTATATCTTTTATTATTTTCTTTTTGTCTTTCTTTTTTCTTCTTCCTCATTCATTTTTTAATTTCTTCTTTATTTATTCTTTTTCGAAATGATTTATACAATCTATTATATATTCTTTTCTTTTTTTTTCATTTAATTTTATCATATCTCTTATTTTATCACATCTTTTCATTGTGAAATATATAATATTTCTTATTATTTCAATACCATATTCATCATTTATACTCTTTAATCATTCTCTATTATTATTATTATTTTGATTTATATATAATCTATTGGTACACATCCCTGTACATATTATATTTCTTTTAATCATTTTCTTATTATTTTATCTACTTCATTTAATTTCATAATTGTTCATTTAACAATAAAACACTGTATGTGAGTTTAGGTATTATTTCTGTATTTATTCTATTAATATAATTCTTATTACTATCGTTTCATTCATTTATTTCTTCTAATTTTATATTGTTAATTATTTTCTCTATACATCCTAATTCATCATTTCTTGTAAATTGATAAATTCCTAATATTCAAATGTATGTTTTTCATCTACCAATAGTATAGTATTCATGTTATCTAGTATATTTATATTTCTTTAATACTCCACATTTATTTATGTTTATTTCAATATTGATTCAATTGTATCATTTATTTTCTGTTTTGTTATTTATATTCCTTTTTTGTTTCATTAGTTATTTTAACATCATCGATATATAATATATGTGTTACTTTTAATCATTTTTCATTTATTTTATCATTCACATAACAAATTATATTCATTTGTAATATAAATAAGAGAGGAGATAGTGAGTCACATTGTAAATTACTATTTTTTATTTTAACTTCTCTTATTATTCTTTATATTTATATTTTTATTCTCCTTCTTTCACTCATACTTTTTATTAATTATGTTATTTAAAATAGTACTTTGAAATATTTTAATGTAATTTATATACATTTATGTTTTCAGTTTATATACTTTTTAATATCATAAAATGTTTCTAAGTATCTTTTATTTTGTATTTCTCTTTCATTTATATTAAACTATTAATATTTCATTCTTTATTTGATAAACTTTCTTATTCAAATATTGATTTTTATTAATTTGAAATTTATTGTCATTTTGTATTAGTTATTCTTCTATCTTCTTTTTTATAATTGATGTGAATATTTCCATATTTATATTTAAACAAGTAATTGGTTTATAATTATCTGCATTTTTATTATCTCATCATTTATATATTAAAATAGTTCTTCATGTTAACATTTCTAATTTGATTGTTTCTAGTATTTCTATCAATTCATTGAATATATTATTTAATTTATTTCTAATACTTTCTAAATTTTTGTCAAATAATATCCTTGTATTGTGTTTATACATGGTGATTTCTATGATGGTATTCTAGTTATTACATTTTCAATATCTTCCATTTTATTGTTATCTTTTCTATTTTATTATTTTATTTTCTTCTTTATTTCTTTATTTCTTTTTCTAAATTTATTTTTATTTCTTTATTAATATTTTATTCAAAAATAAAATTGTTTCTTCTTCTTTTATTTTCTTCTCATTGATACTTATGTTTTTGTTTCTGTATTTTCTATTTCTTTCATTTTTATTTATTTCTATTTCTCATCTCCTTTAAATATTTTAATTCTTTTACTTCTTCTTTTACTTCTATTCTTATCTTCTTGTAATGTTCTTATTATTATTCTTAATTTTTTATAACTTCCTTTTATTAATAAATCTTGTATTTTATTTATTTTATCTTGTATTATTTCTCTATATTCTTTTTATATTATATAAATTTATTTTATATTTATTTTTTTTAATTAGATATGATATTTTATAAATGCCTTTTTGTATTTATTTGTTATTTCATTTTTTCCCATTTCTTATCAATGTATTCTATTATTTCATCATATTTATTATTAAAATAATACATATTATATCTCATTTCTTTTTTTATCTTTTTATTTTTCTTATTAAATAATCTATATATTTTGTATCATTCTCATTTAGCTTTTTATTTTTAATGTTTTCTTTTATTTATTTTCTGTATTTTCTGTATTATTTATTATACCTTCTACTTTTTTATTGATTTATTTTGTAATATCTTTTTTATTCATTCTTATTTCTTTGTTTATTTTGATATATTCTTCTTTTGTAATATCATTATGTTATTCTTTCTTTATTTTCTTGTTTTCTTCTATTCTTAATTTCTTTTTTTAATTTATTAATTCAATAACAGATGTTTTTTTTTCTTATTTTTGTTTCTTTTTCATTTCTTTCTTCATTCTGTTCTATTAATTCTTGTTTCTCTTCTAGTACATTCTTCTTCTTCTCTTCTTTTATTATCTTTTCTATTCCTGTTAATGGTCATCTTTTTATTGTTCCTTGTTCTATCTTTCGTCCTTCATTTCTTTAAAAAAAAAAAAATTTCTTCATCTTCTCTAAGTATTTCTTCTATATCTATTCTCTTCTGCTTCTTTTATTAATTTCTGTATTTTCCTTCTTTTATTATTTTAATATTTTCTACACTTTTATCTATTTCTTCTTATAATTGTTTCTTGTTCTTCTATTTCTTTTATCATTTGTTTATTATTCTTTATTTCCATTATTTTCTTTTGTTTTTCT